AAAATATGAATTAATCAGTAACAATCAACACTTAATAGTAATTTCTTTCAATACAAAATGACACTTTTTGGTTGGGATAAAGTCATTCTAAAATATTTTGGATGTGAACAAGTAGGAAAGCCTGTGCTATTATTCACAATATGTGGATATTTAATTTTTAAAAACTACTTAAAACCTAAAAATATCTGTCTTTACAGAACAGAATAAGTATTTGTCCTAAGCTAGTAGTTTAGTAAAATAAAGTAATTGATGTTTTATTTGGAGAAAACTGCTATCCCAATTCACTCATGCGAAAGAACTTATTAAATCAGACATTTCAAATATATGCAGTTTACCATATTTCAATTATACCTTAATAAAGCTGTGGTAAGCAATTATAATCAATTTAATATTTCAACAAAATTAGCATTAAGACAATAAATTTTAATTTACATTTATGAGTCCACTGGTAAGTATTGAGTAAATAAATAAAAATTTTCAGAGCATTAACTGTAGCACTGATTTGTTTTCACCTTTGGAGTAATATATTTTCTAGAGTATATCTCTGAATGCAATCCTTATGTATTAAAAATTATATCTTATGACATAACAAATATAATTGGTAGCTTTTTAAGCTTGTCTTTAGAGAGCAATTTCTTTTTGTGTATTAGTTCTAATAGCTTTTTCTTGCATGTATAAAATCTTTAAGATTTTTATTTGTATAACTATATTTTTCTCCTTCCTTAACATCTTTATAAATTTTTCATTATGATATCTTTTTAAAGTCTCTGATTTCTTTTAAAAGCAAAGCCTCTTATTTCCAGATTATTGTAAATGAAATCTCTAATGTGCTTTAGGGTACTTCATTACAGCATTTGTGAGTAGGACATAAATCACTATGCTTTACTCCTGAATTTACTAGAATTTATTTTTGTAATTTGCCCCACACTGAGTTTTAGATGCTATTTAAGACTATATTCAGGCAACTTCCTTTCCTAGCAACAGAAATAAGAACAATACAACAAAGAGTCCTGTCCAATTTAAAACTATCCTCACTCAGTAACTCTTTTCTGAAAGTACCTTTAAGAAGAATGCCCTGTAAATTTGGGTTGTACCAATGTTTCTCAAAGGAGACATGAACCCGTTTGGTGGAAGCAGACTGTTTCATAGATAGAATACATCTTTGTGTGTTTAGTGGCACGGGTAGCATTGTGTTTCTGCAAGATTCCGATGCTGAAATCCTAACTCCCAGGACTTAAGAGTGACAGTATACAGAGACAGGGTCTTTAAAGGGGAAGTTAAGTTAAATCAAGGTCATTAGGGTGGGCCCTCACTCAATAAAACCGGTGTTCATATAAGAGGAGCAAATTAGGAAATTAGGACACAAAGAGAAGAAGATGTGAAGACACGGGGAAAGGAGACCATCTACAAACCAGGGAGAGATGCCACAGAAGAAACCAATCCTGCTGATACCAGATCTCGGACTTCTAGCTTCTAGAATTACAAGAAAATAAATTTCTGTTATTTAGGACACCCAGTTTATAATTATAATTTTATATGCATACATGCTTATATATCCTATGTATAATGTGTTGCCTAGAGTAGGAGAAGAGGGGTGGAAATGGCTAAGGTTTCTGAGGGGAGGTATGCATGAGACACAGGAAAGAAGAGACACCGGAAATGAGTGGAGAACTGCAAAGAGTTTGAGCATCCCACCAGAAGCAAAGTTCTTAGGCCTGGGAAGCTTAGTGGATAGACCTACTTTTATTCTTTTTCTCAGTGTTTGCTTTTTCTGTGTGATCTTAATCTTGGAAATACTTCTGAAGAACTCAAACAACGCATATACCTTTGTATTCTTAGTTATAGACTGCCCCAGCTCTTGAATCACAAATACAAGTGGAACAATTAACTTAAATAGAATCATAAAGTCATCAATGTGACTATTAAAATAGAATTACTCATTCATGTATGGTACTATTTTTTTTTTCTTAAGGAAGAACTTGTGGTTTTCCAGAAATAAAACATGGAAACATATATGATGAAGACAGATATAAACACAACTTCCCAGTTGCTCTGGGAAAGTATTTCTACTACTCGTGTGATCACAGCTTTGCATCTCCTTCACAATCACTCTGGACTAAAATAACCTGCACAGAGGAAGGATGGTCACCAACACCAAAGTGTATCAGTGAGTAAATACCCTGGTTATTATCTGGATGAATTATTTAGTGTGTTCAGTGAGTGGAGAAGTGGATGCCAGGGGGTAGATCACAGAATCACAGAACAATTAGACAATCACAGAATCAGGGGCTGGAGGAACCAATCAGCAAAGACAAGGTAGTCTTTTCTCCTTTTATAAGAAACTGTTTGTGGAAATCAAATCAGAAAAAAAACAAGATACAAACTTTTGTCTAAACCTTTTCATTTCATTTTAATTTAATTTAATTTAATTTAATTTAATTTAATTTAATTTTTTTTAAATATGAAATTTATTGTCAAATTGGTTTCCATACAACACCCGGTGCTCATCCCAACAGGTGCCCTCCTCAATACCCATCACCCACCCTCCCCTCCCTCCCACCCCCCATCAACCCTCAGTTTGTTCTGTTTTTAAGACTCTTATGTTTTGGCTCCCTCCCTCTCTAACCTCTTTTTTTTTCCTTGCTCTCCCCCATGGTCTTCTGTTAAGTTTCTCAGGGCTGGTTCAACATTCGCAAATCAATCAATGTGATACATCACATTAATAAAAGAAAAGATAAGAACCATATGATCTTGTCAATCGATGCAGAAAAAGCATTTGACAAAATTCAGCATCCTTTCTTAATAAAAACCCTCGAGAAAGTCAGGATAGAAGGAACATACTTAAACATCATAAAAGCCATTTATAAATCTTTTCATTTTATTAAAAAAAAATTTTTTTTCAACGTTTTTATTTATTTTTGGGACAGAGAGAGACAGAGCATGAATGGGGGAGGGACAGAGAGAGAGGGAGACACAGAATCGGAAACAGGCTCCAGGCTCCGAGCCATCAGCCCAGAGCCTGACGCTGGGCTCGAACTCATGGACCATGAGATCGTGACCTGGCTGAAGTCGGACGCTTAACCGACTGCACCACCCAGACGCCCCTAAATCTTTTCATTTTAAATACTGGTGGTCAATACTGTTAACTGCTAGTATTTAAACACACTCATTGGTAATTGTATGACTGTAGGTTTTCTCAAGAGAGTTTATTTTTATGTGTAATATCAGATTCAAAATGTGCTGTTTCTTTGAATATCCAAGAAGAATTTTACTATTATCCTTAATTTTGTGCTTTTTGTTAATCACATCTTTTTAAAAAAAATTATTTAACATTTACTTATTTTTGAGAGAGAGACAGAGACAGAATGTAAGCGGGAGAGGCACAGAGACAGAGGGAGACACAGAATCTGAGGCAGGCTCCAGGCTCTGAGCTGTCCACGCAGAGCCCCACACAGGGCTTATTAACAAACCACAAGATCATGACCTGAACTGAAGTTGGACTGAGCCACCCAGGCACCCCTCACATCTTTGTTTTATAAAATTACATCTGCCTTCCTCTCTCAATGAGCACAGAGAAAAGCAGAGTCATGAAGAAGACACAGTCATCAAAGAGAAAAGCAAAAAAGGCACAGGAGATAAAAGTCATCTCCTCCTTCAGGAAGCAATTTAGACAATCAAATGAGAAACCAAAACTAACTTTTCTGATATCTAAAGGAATTTTACAAGTGTAGAGTGTTTTATATATACACATGATGATTGATGACGTTACATATTAATATTTTTAACTTGCATGAACTCATTTTTAAGAAACGAATTTTTGTGTGTGGTTTCTCTTTTGAAGCCTGCAAAATATAATATTCCTTCATTGCAAGATTTATATTAGTTACCTTTTGGGTCTTTAGGACAGTGCTTTTTCCCTTGGGTGGAAAATGGTCATTCTGCCTCTTCGGGACAAACACACCAGGAAGGTGACACTGCGAAAATTGTCTGTGATACAGATTATCGCCTTTTAAATAATCAGAGCAACATCACATGTACAGAGAGTGGCTGGTCCATCCCTCCTAAATGCAGTTCGACAGGTAGGTCTTCTGGGATCCTGTATTCTTTTTTATTTTAGAAAGAAGTAACATCATGAAACATATGCAGTGTTGCTGTTGTTGCTATTTTTGCCTTTTTAGTTTTAGGGTTTCCGTTGTGTCTGAGTAGATATGAAAGTCTCTGGATAATCCTAGAAAATCATTTTGTCTTTACATGAATTCAATGTCGGCAATACTGGGAAACACTGGTCAAGAGCATAATGAAAATTTTCGAAAGATACTTTAATGTTTTAGTGACACAAATTTAACGTTTATAATGAAATTATCCAAAATCAGTTGACACAACATGAGAATAAATTCGATTTTGCAAGGTGTAATAGTTAAAATTCCACATGTGCAAAATCTTATTGCTGGGAAATCTTACTGCTAAATGCTAGTTGGCATTTATCTTTTTTGGCAAATGCTAAATTTACATCATTTAAAGAGAAGCACCAATGTATTGATAATTTCCACATGGTTAGAACTTTGTACTTCTGAAATTTAGGTTTCCAGGGTATAACTTACAACATAGAAATCTCCTTCATAAAAAAAAAATGTCAAAAATAGGAATATATTGGAGCTGAAGTTGAGTTGGAGTTTCTCATACTTTTAATGGAAACAAAACAGTTGCTGAATGTGAATAAGGGTCTCAGAAATAATAAGATTCCTAAAGCATTGTCAAAGACTCTAAGGGAACAGTGTCTATTCTAGCCCTACTTATTTTCCCATTCATCATTAATTCATCTAATCAATATTAATTGTGAACATTTATATGCCAAGCACTACCAAAACTGTTGGAGATCAATACTCTACAAGAGTCAGTATCTCTTTATTCATAGACTATTATGTCAAGTGGAAAACCAGGAGTAATAATAATAATAATTTTAAAAATAGAAAAATAGAAAGTTAAAGATTAAAAGTCATGTACATTATAAAATATAATATTAATAGTGACCTGAGGAAGGGCACATTTTACGTATGATAGTTTTCGAATCTTTTCCGACCTTCAGGATGGCATCTGGAGAGGTTAAATAGCATTAAGGCATCAAAAGATTTGGACTCATTGAAGCAAAGCAAGGAGGCCAATGTGGCTGGCCCATGATGAGGCAAAGTGTTGGATTAATTAATTTAAAAGTTATAGGCTATAATATATATTGCAGATTTTAGTCTGTGTGCAATTAGAAGCCCCGGGAGATTTTAAGCAGGCAAGTGTCACAAAATGAGTTTCAAACAAGATCATTATGATTGCTATTTTGAAAATGAATCTGGAGTGATTAAGAAGAGAAAGGAGGAGGGCCAGTTAGGAGAATCTAGATGTGGCATGTTCTGGGGTACGATACAATGGAGAAAAGAAGTATTTTTCTGGGGCTTTAGTTTATGTTATTTGCAATGTAGAAAAAGAATTGGACTGTCTGATACAGGCTGAATATTATAATATGTTAACTATACCTTTAAACAAATAGAAAACAAAAAAAAAATGAGAAGAATCTTAAACTCCAGGGGAGAAAAAAATATATATCTTTTTATGGAAATAAACAATATGTATACAAGGCGGGTCTGACAACTTGTTCACACACAGAAAAACTCTGAAAATAAAACCACAATGAAATCTCATTCTTGGTGGAATGATAATTATCAAAAACACAAGCGATAACAAATGTTGGCCAGGATGTGGAGAAAAGGGAAACTTATGTACTGTTGGGAATGTAAATTAGTATAGCTGCTATGGAAAAGAGTATGGAGTTTCCTCAAAAAATTAAACGTCGAAATACCATATGATCCAGTAATTCCACTACTGGGTATATATCCAAAGGAAATGAAGTTATGATCTTGAAGAGATGTCTGTACCCCCATGTTCATACCAACAGTATTTATAACTTTCAAGAGGTAGGAGTTATGTAAATTTCTACTCATGGATGAATGAATAAAGAAAATGTGACATATAATGGAGCATTATTCACCCACAAAAAAGAAGGAAATCCTGCCATTTGCAACAATATGCATGGACCTTGAGGGCATTGTGCTATGTGAACTAAGTTAAATAGAGAAACACAAATACTCTATGATCTCGTGCATAGGTAGAATCTAAAAAAGCCAAACTCATAGAGACAGAAAGAATGGTGGTTGCCAGGGATGGGGGGTTGAGGGAAATGGGGAGATGTTGGTCAAGGTGTACAAACTTCCAGTTAGGAGATGAATTGGTTCTGGAGATCTAATGGATAGCATGGTGACTCTAGGCTCAGCACAGAGCCTGATGTGGGGCTTGATCCCACAACTGTGAGATCATGACCGGAGGCAAAAATCAAGACTTGGACACTCAGCCAACTGAGCCAGCCAGGTGCCCCAAGAAAAAGAATTTAAAAGCATAAATATAATAAAAATGGCTTTTACGTTTATTTTTATTACCTATAGCTGCCCAATAGTGACCTTTACCATTGTGCTCTATGTCTTCATTTAGCTTCAGGTTACTGTCCGATGTCCTTATACTTCAGCCCTCAGCATTTCTTGGAGGTCATGTCTACTTGTAACAAATTCTCTTAGCTTTTGTTTATTGGAGAATGTCTTCATTTCTCCTTCAGTCTCGAAGGAGACGATTAAAATTTCACCAATGAATTCTTTCTTTCCTCAGAATCACACAAGTGTTGATATTACATATTGTGCTGCTTCTTAGATATATAGGATATTTTGTATATAATACCTACTAATTTCACATAATATAGCAATACATTAAAAGAAGCAAATCAAAGTATGGTTTATGATAATACTTTTCAAAGGTGGCACAGTTTCAAAGGTGACACTCTGACAAGGTCAGTTGTCAGTGATGGGGTTTTGGCGTGATGCTAGGGTTTGGAGCTGACGGCCAAGAAAGAATTCTTGAAGACATCTTTGGTGCAAAAAGGTGATTTTATGAAAGCACCAGGACAGGACCCTTGGGCAGAAAGAGCTGCACTGGGGTTGTGATGGGTAATTGATTATATACCGTCAGGTTGGGAGGGGATTATGGATAGAGTAAGTCTCTAAGTTATTTTGGAAGCAAGGTTTCCAAGACCTTGAGGGGCTAGGTGTTGTCAGGAAAATGCTTTTTATTACCTTTTAGTAAAACCTCAGTCATGAGACCCTTCAGATGTATATCAGGAGGCCATAAGCTTGGAGTATGGTTGCCAGAATATACCTTGGGGGAGTTGAGATAAAGGAAGTTTCCAAAGGAATTTTTATATTTTAAAGAAGACTTATAGGTTCCTGGGGGGTCAGGATAATGTTAAGCCAATATTCCCTTTTGCCCCTAGCAAAGTGTCATCGTCAAGGCAGCTGGGCTCCCAGAGCGAGGTCACTCTGCCTGTTTCAAGGACTTGTGAATAGGCTGTAGGCAGTAAAGGAATTTAATTTTTCATTTGCCTTAGTTTCCCATGTCACACGGCAAGCACTTAACCCCCTTTCCTTTGTTCTCAGGTAGCCAGGAGTGTCCGAGGAATATCACTCATATTCTACTTGGCTGGGGGTGGGGTGGGGGTGGGGTGGGGGTGGCAGTGGTGGTGGTAGCTTGTACTTTGCCCTCAGCTTGCGTTATGCTCCCTCATCAGTCAGGAGTGGATGGTATATAGAAAGGAAACAAAGGGAGATGAGAAAACTAGCTTTATTTTAACTGTGCAAAAGCAAATTGTAAAGCTGATATTTTCAGTTATCATATATGCCTTTTACCTTACGTCCACTGAGGATAAGTCTTATTGTAATCCTAACTGAAATTTGCTATTCAACTCGTATGATAATCTTTTCTATTATGATGTGTAAGTTTTTTCCACACCACCAAGCAATTATCTGACACCAGGAAGGTGTCCTACTGTTCAACTCAATTCTGACACTACCTACCTGGAGATAGCATAAAATCCCACAGATTAAGGGCTCAGTCCTACAAGACTGCCTCCATTCCCTTCACAAGCCAATTGCTAGTTCAGTGTGTCTGCTGTACTTCTAACCAAATAGCTATAAATCAGAGGTTCCTATGACCTTCTCTGATTCAATTAATTTACTGGAGCAGTTCACAGAATTAAAAAAAAAAAAAACAGAACAAAACCCATTTTGTTTACTAGGTTACTAGTTTATTACAAAAAGCTATTACAGGAATAGCCAGATGAGAGATGCACAGGGCGAGATATGTGGTAAGGGGTGGGGAGCTCCCACGCCCTCTCTGAGTTCACCACCCTCCTGGCACCTCCATGTGCTCTCCATCCCAGAAGCTCTCAAAACCCTGTCCGTTTGGATTATTATGGAGGCTTCATTACATAGGCAGGGTTGATTAAATCATTGGCTATTGGCAATTGATTCAACCTGCAGCCCCTCTCCTCTCCCTGGGGGGCAGGATGGTAGGACTGCTAGTTCCAACTCTCTAAAGACAGGGCTGACTCCTTGGGCAACCAGCCCCCATCCTTGGTATTTACAAAAGACACCTCATTTACATAACTAAAGATACCTTTATCACACTCATCACTTAGGAAATTCCAATCATTTAGGAATTGGCTTAACATTAGGAGCTCTATGCCAGATGTGGGGTCAAAAACTAAATATATATTTGTTATAAATCATATCACAACTATTAACATGTGGCAAGTAAATTGGAATTGTGCATATTGGTAGCATAATATCTCACAGCTCTTTTTTGTTTGCTTAAAGAAATTTTCTTCTATTTGTGTTTATAAGAATTTTGTTTATTATATTTTCTTTTTTGACCAAATAGTTGTTGTATTGTATTCAATTATCACCTTATCTGCATCCGTTAAGATGTTTAATCACTAACATTCTTTCTCTGGGCTTGCAAGTTTGTACTCTGCTGGTTTAGAAGGTAGGTCATAAGATATAATGCCTTCACCAGGGACAAATCAATATTTCCTTTTACTGGAAGTTGATGGTAAATCTGTTATCTTGGGCATCTCATGTCATTGAGCTAACAGGCGTAGAAGTGGATTATGTACACAGGCTGGGGATACTGAATTGAATTGCGGCAGGGT